TCTTGACTGATAGCGTCATGTTCCGGAATGCCCGGAAGTTTCTTGGAGGTTCGGGCGCGCGCCCCGAAATTGACCGACGCCCAAGAAACCCAGGTTGCCCTGCCATCTGCAGTTTCTTGGAGATTGCGGCGACCTTCCGCGCCGAAACGCCACTGTAAGCTGCGCCACATGTATTGCATCATCTGTGTGTGTGTGTGTGTCTGTGTGTTGTGTGGATTTCCTGGCCTGCGGCCCATCTCGCCACCGTGCCTGGGTAGTGGGTCAGAGTCCACGTGCAGGCTTCGTGGGTTCTCTTTAGAGGGCCCTCGGGCGCCTCTGGAGGCAGTGTTGTGGCAGTTTGGGGGCCTCTTGGAAGTTTTGTGGGGGCCTCTTGGGGCTTCCCGAGGGCCTCTTGGGGCCTCTCGGGTAACCTCTTGGGTGCCTCTTGGGGCCTCCCGAGGGCCTCTTGGGGCGGTGAGCTCGAAATGATGGTTTGTGTTCCCTCTCTGAGGCCCTTATGGGGCGTTCTTCCACCACATGCTGAAGGCGCGGTGGCGGATATGTATGTATGTATGCATGTATGCATGCATGCATGCATGCATGCATGCATGCATGTATGTATGTATGTATTTATGTATGTATTTCCTACCTAGGCTCTGCTTAGAAGGGTTCTTACTCGGTGGCTTAAAGGGCCGGGCAGTGGGGCCCGCCCTGGGCGGTTCCCCCAGTATCTGCCCCGCGGTTCCCCCAGTTACGTCCCTTTAGCTTAGCGTTGCTTATCTCATCTTAGCTTAGCTTATTTCATCTTAGCTTAGCTTAGGTTCATCTTAGCTCAGGTTTATCTTAGCTAGCTTACCTGCATCTTAGCTTCGCTGAGCTTTAGCATAGCAGAGCACAGCATAGCATAGCATAGCGTAGCATAGCATAGCGCAGCGCAGCATATCACAGCATAACAGCATAGCATAGCAAAGCGCAGCATAGCATAGCATAGCATAGCATAACATAGCGAAGCACAGCACAGCACAGCATAGCACAGCGCAGCATAGCATAGCATTAGCATGGGTGTAATTCCCTACCTAGGCTCTGCCTAGAGGGTTAGCTTAGCTTAGCTTAGCATAGCTTAGCATAGCACAGCGCAGCGCTGCATTAGCATAGCATAGCATAGCATAACATAGCCAAACACAACATATCATATCATAGCATAACTTAGCGCAGCGTAGCATAGCATATCATATCATACCATACCATAGCATATCATATCATAACACAACATATCATAACATATCAAATCATATAACATCGCAGCTTATCATATCATAGCATAGCATATCATAGCATAGCTTAGCATAGCACAGCGCATCATGACATATCATAGCTTCGCTTAGCATAGCATAGCATAGCATAGCATAGCATAGCGCAGCATATCATAGCATAGTATAGCATAACATAGCATAGCATAGCGCAGCATATCATGGCATCACATAGCATAGCATAGTATAGCAATTAATGCTGCTTTCCTAGGGGCTCCAACTTCTAGGTAGGGTCGCACTGGGGTAATTATGTATGAAACAGCGCGTTCTGTGGTCGCTTGGAGGGGGGGGGGTTTGGAACCGGACCCCCCCCCTCCCCCCTGGATGGAGGGGGGGAGGGGTTTCGAACCCCCCCCCCCTCCCGTGTTGGAGGGGGGGGGGTTTAAACCCCCCCCCCTCCCGTGACGGAGGGGGGGGGGTTCAAAACACCCTTCCCCTTGTGCTTCCCCTCGCCTCGGGCCAGCGCTTGCGTCGGCGGCGGCTGGCGACGGCGGCGGGGACGACGATTTTCATTTCTGGGCCGGCGCTGGCCAGCGCCTGCGGCGGCGGGCGGCGGCGGCGGGGAGCGTCGACGAGGACGACGGTGGTGGTGGTGGTGGGTTGTGGTGGTGGTGGGTTGTGGTGGTGGTGGTGGTGGCGGTGGTGGTGGTTGTAGTGGTGGTGGTGGTGTGGCGGTTTGTTGTGGTGGTGGTGGTTGTGGCGGTGGGTGGTGGTGTTGGTGGTGGTTTGGTGGTGGTGTGGTGGTGGTTTGTGGTGGTGGTGGTGGTGGGTTGTGGTGGTGGTGGTGGTGGTGTGGTGGTGGTTTGTGGTGGAGGTGGTGCTGGGTGGTGCTGGTGGTGGTGGTGGCGGTGGTGGTGGTGGTGTGGTGGTTTGTGGTGGTGGCGGTGGGTTGTTCTGCTGGTGGTGGTTGTGGCGGTGGTGGTGGTGGTTGTGGTAGATTGTGGTGGTGGTGGTAGTGGTGGTGGGTTTTGTGGTGGTGGTGATGGTGAGTTGTGGTGATGGTGGTGGTGGTGGCTGTGGTGGTGGTGGTGGTGGTGGTGGTGGTTGTGTGGTGCCGTTGGTGGTGGTGGTGTGTGGGTTGAGGCGGTGGTGGTGGTAGTGGTAGTGGTGGTGGTCGTCGCTGCGTCCCCGCCGTCGCCGGCGCCAGCGCCGGCGCTGCTGGCTGCCGCCAGCGCCGTCGCCGGCGCCGAGGGAGGGGGGGGGGTTCCGGGAGGGGGGGGGGGGGTTGTGGGGGAGGGGAGTCCTCCTGGTTGTGATCGACGGCGCCGAGCGTGGGGGGGGGCCACCCCCCGGTTAGAAACGTGCCGCCGAATGTTTCCAAGGCGAGCGCCCGTGAAACGCGTTCTCTCGTATGTATGTATGTATGTACGTATGTATGTATGTATGTCTGTCTGTCTGTCTGTATGTATGTATGTATGTATGTATGTATGTATGTATGTATGTATGTATGTATGTATGTATGCATGCATGCATGCATGCATGCATGCATGCATGTATGTATGTATGTATGTATGTATGTGTATATATATATATATAACTATGTTGCACCCTAGAGGTTGTCCCAAAAACATCTTGCGCCATCGAGATTGCCCCCGCTGGCAACCATCAGTGACTCATCCCCGTCGTCCTCGCAACACCAGTCGTGTCGGTAGGGCGGGTCGGCCGTTTCGCTCGAACATATATATATATATACACACAACATACACGACTTTACCCGACCCGCGATCGTAAAGCCAGCAAATTTTAGCTGATGCGCGGATGCCGCACATGTGGTTCTCAAATGCCTCTCTCGCCTTGGCGCCGCCCCGCTTCGTTTTAAACATCGCCAGCGCAGATGTGCGGACAGAGCACGCGTGGTTTGAAGTTCTGGCTCTTGCTTCGACGCCGCGCACGTTTGTCTCAAGCGTTGCCCACAGTTGCGTGGATAAAACACATCGCAGGCCTAGAGGTTGTCACCAACACCAAGGTCGGCGGTGTGCCTCCACCGAGGGAAGACGATCCCGATTTCGGTGATGGTGGTAATACTCTGGCTTCCAAAGTGGCCGAAATATCACCACCAACACCGAAATGTAGGATCATCGTCCCCCTGTGGAAGATTCCCCCTGTGCTGGTGCTGGTGCCGATTTCCAGGCCTCCAGACACAGGCGGTTCTCAAAATGTGGATCTCGCCCTCGCTCGGGTTAAGGGTGGTTGGATTTCCCGCCGCTCTGCACGGACGGAGGGCCGCAGTCCTGCAACGTGGGACGCCCCGGTGGGCCAACCATCCAGGGGAGCTCGTAGGAGCTGGAGGCGGCCAGTGCGAATCGAGCTCAGGCGCCCATGAGAACCCGTTGGGACCCAGATCGCGGGTGGAAAACGCGCCAGCCACCCACGGGAGCCAGTGGGGACCCAAGCAGCGGCGACCCGAGAGGGCGACGGCCCCATCCAATGCTTTTGTAGCCTGGGTGGGAACCTCTCAGTGCAAGTCTTGTCTTGGGAGCGATCTCCAGCAGTTCCGCGCATGGAGGTCTGAGGGGTATTGACAGCATTGCTCTCGCTCCAGCGCCGCGCACGTTCGCCTCGAAAGCTTTGGGCATCTGAAGGAGGGCGGTTCGTTGTAAATGTCTTTGGTTCTTGCCTGTTACTTCTCTGTGACGTTCGACCTGTGTACGGACGGGCTCGCGGCCCAAGATAATGTCTTCGCTTGAGCATGTGATTTGTTATATCCTTGTAGCTTGAGGCTTCAACCGCCACCCGGATTGTTCGCCGCTTCTTCTGGACACCATGTGTTTGACCCATCGCCGCGCGCACGTGTTGAGCGCGTCTACCAGCTACGTCGATGGAGGACGGCTCCCTGTCAAATCCATCTTTCTTTTCAAGGTTGCGTGGCCGATGTTTGAAAGCGTGGCTTGCAATGCGCATTGTGGAAAACCGAAGCTTCTCACCATGCAGGTTCATGCGACTCTCGCCTTTCCAGCGGGCGTTTGCAGCAGTGATGGTGGGGTGGGGGTCGGGGCTGGGGACAGGGTGGCTGTTGCAGCATGATTGGTGTGTGTGTGTGCGTGTGTGTGTGTGTGTGTGTGAGAGAGAGTGAGCTTGCGTACTTGCGTGCTTGCGTGCGTGAGTGCGTGCGTGCGTGCGTGCTTGCGCGTGTGTGTGTGTGTGTGTGTGTGTGTGTGTTTGTGCGTGCGTGCGTGCGTGCGTGCGTGCGTGTGCGTGTGTGCGTGTGTTCGTGTGTGCGTGTGTGCGTGTGTGTGTGTGTGTGTGTGTGTGTGTGTTTGTACGCGTTCGTCCGTGCGTGAGTGCGTGCGTGCGTGCATGCGTGCGTGCGTGTGTATGTGTTTGTGTGTGTGTTGTGTGTGTATGCGTGTGTGTGTGTGTGTGTGGAGTTATGTATGTTTATGTGTGTGCGTGTGTGTGTCTCTGTGTGTGTGTCTCTCTCTCTCTCTGTCTGTGTGTGTGTGTGTGCGTGTGGGTCGTGTTTGGTTTACTCTGGTGATCCTCCTGCCCCTCCATGTTCTTCACCCATCTCATTGTCTTCCAAATGCCCTTCGTCCTCCTGGCTTCTTTTCCTCCGAGTGGAACGATGAAGGGAGGAGGAAAATGAGAGAGAGGAGGAGGAGGAGGGGGAGAAGGAACAAGAGGAGGAGGAGGAGGAGGAGGAGGAGGAGGAGGAGGAGGAGGATGAGGAGGAGGAGGAGGAAAAGGATGTAGGAGGAGAACAAGTTCCAGGTACAAAGATCTGAACGCATTCGAACCGTTCGGCTGCACGGACATTACCTCCAACGACGACACAACTTGGGGCACCGAGGAGGAGCTCTCCTTCCCCTTCTCCTCATTGGTGGCGTCGTCTTTGTTTCATTATGATCCTCCCTCCCCATCCTCATTTTTCCCCCTCTTCTTCTTCATCGTCTATCCTTCATGGAGGGACGGGTGCCAGAGGAATGCATGGCGAAGTGCACCGCCGACGCAAACTGCGATTGCGCGACGTACGAGAGGGCGACCGGCGGCTGCTGGAACCGCTGCAATTGCGTGTTGGCCGAGATGACTAGCGGGTATAACGAGGGCTTCAATCTGTACGTGAAGGATCGGAGAGCAGCAAGTACAGCCTCGCTAGTCAGTGTTGATCCCCCCCCGTTCCGTCCTGGCCGGGCTTCCTCTGGCGGCCTCAGAAAAGCCGGCTCGGTTGCTCGGCCCTCCCCAAACGCACTACGGTGTGGGCGTCGGTCCAGGAGGCTTCAGACCCTGGAGGAGTCCATATTTGATGATGGCGACGGTTCTCTCGAAGGCCACTCCACGATTGGAGGTCCACCAGCCTTCCGAGCATGTATTCTTGATCCAATGGTTTCGTTTCAAGTGCCCCCGCAGTAGCGGTATCGGTGCCTCTTGCTTTCCCCACCTCCGCTCGCACCCTCCGCTCCCGCTCTGGCTCCCCCTCCCGCTCGCTCACCAGCTGCTCCGGCCGCCGCTGCTGCAGCGGCCCTGGTGAGATGCCGCTGCCACGGACTGCCCCTCCCTCGCGTCGGGAGCGCGCCTCGGTGCCCAGGTCGCCGGTGCCCAGATCCCCTCGCGGTGCAGACAGCTACGTCAGCATGCGCTTTCGGAGGTCCGCGCGGGGTGCTTGGGTCGGCGCTGGACCCCCTTTCCCCGCAGCCCCCCGCCCCCCACTGCAGTGGAGACCCATGCCAAGCAACACCCTGCTTGCCTTCAGGCCGCCCTGGGTTTCTTGGGCTTCGAGGGCTTTGCGACGGATAGCGCGACGTTCCCACACCAACAACCACTGGACGCCCTGGGGCCTCCAGGCTGGGTGTCTTCTGGAAGGCTTCTTGTGGGCTGGCCTCCACTGGTGCGGCTTGCGCAGGCCGCCAGGGCGGCGGCGCCCTGCGCCGCCAACGGGGGGTGCGTCGGGGGGAGGGCCCAGCGCCGACCCGGGAAGCCTGCGTGGACCTCTGGCGCCCCGTGCCCCTGCAGCGCTTCGACCCCGCCGGGTTGGGGTGCAGCTCCCGGGGGTGTGTCCCTGGTCGAGAACTGGCCCCATCTGGTTGCAGTCCGGCTTCGTCAAGCTCGATCCGGCTCGATGCCGCCAAATTTGGTTTCTTCCTGGGCTTCTCCGGCCGCGCTCAGCTGCATGGCCCTTCCATCGGGTTTGACAGCCCTTGCTCGTTCCAGTGAAGACCTCCCAGGAAGCGCCTCCTGATGCTGAGCGCCGCCCCACCCACCAAGCACCGCTCCACCTCCCGAGCACCGCCCCCCCCACACGTCGGACACCGCCCCACATTGTGCCGACTCGTGAAACAGAGGTGCTCGTCTTAAGTCGGGCCTGTCCCTGTACAGGGGGAATATTCAAAAATAGTCAAGCAAATAGTCTAAGGAGGATTTTTCACCATTTTTGAATGTTTATTGAATATTATTGGGCCATTTTTTCCCGAAATCTGCCTCTAGGGGGACAGGCCCCACCTAATGCTCGTCGACAGGCAGCAGCTCAGCGATGCGATGGTCGCCTGCGGGCAGGCACCCAGGAGTCGCGCTCACGCTTAGGACTCCCTCACAGCTTACTTAGGAATCGGGATCTCGCTGTCCTTCGTGGCCCCGTTGCAGTCCTTCGTGGCCCTCTCGCTGCCCGTCGGGGCCCGTTGCAGCCCTTCGTGGCCCCTTCGCTGCCCTTCGTGGACCATTTGCAGCCCTTCGTGGCCCCCCCGCTGCCCTTCGTGGACCATTTGTAGCCCTTCGTGCCCCCCCCCCCCGCTGCCCTTCGTGGCCCCGTTGCAGCCTTTCGTGGCCCCATCGCTGCTCTTCGTGGCTCCGTGGCAGCCCTGCGTGGCCCCCTCGCTGCCCGTCGTGGCCCCGTTGTAGCCTTTCGTGGCCCCCTCGCTGCCCTTCGTGGCCCCCTCGCTGCCCATCGTGGCCCCATATATGTATGCCCTTCGTGGCCCCTGCTCGTTCGCGCCCGTCGTGGCCCTACATGCATGCGCTTCGTGGCCCCGCTGTCGCCCTTCGTGGCCCTTTTGCTGCCCCTCGTGGCCCCGTTGCTGCCCTCAGTGGCCCCGTCGTTGCCTTCTGCGGCCCCCCATACGTATGCCCTTCGTGGCCCCCGCTCGTTCGCGCCCGTCGTGGCCCCATATGCATGCCCTTCGTGGCCCCACTGTCGCCCTTTGTGGCCCCCTCGCTGTCCTTCGTGGCCCCGTTGCCACTCTCAGTGGCCCCGTCGTTGCCTTCTGTGGCCCCGCATTATCTGCCCTTCGTGGCCCCCGCTCGTTGGCGCCCTTCGTGGCCCCATGCGCATGCCTCTCGTGGCCCCGCTGTCGCCCGTCGTGGCCCCCTTCCTGCCATTCGTGGCCCCGCTGTCGCTCTCGCTTTCGCTGTCGCTCGGCGCCGTCATCGTCGTCGTCGTCGTCGTCGTTGCCGTCGTCGTCGTCGTCGTCGTCGTCGTCGTCGTCGTCGTCGTCGTCGTCGTCGTCGTCGTGGTCGGTCCCCGGTCCGTCCCTCTTGGGGTCGGGTTGCCGCCGATCGGTGCTGTCGCTGGCCGGGCCGACGGGCCGCGGCCGCCCCGCCGCTTGCCGGGGCCTGGCCTGCAGGGAAGAAAAAGACACCCTCCGAAAAGGGCACGATCGAAGACGAAGAGGGCGGGTATCGAGGGCTCGGGAAATACATGTTGAATGACATTCGAGCAGATAAGCGAACAGTCTTAAAGTGATTCAACTCTCACTACTGAATATCTATTGTTGATCTCCCCTTTGGTGGATTTTTTTTCAAGTCTTCACGCTTCGCGTATCACCAGCAACCCATTCAGAAACCCTGCCCTTCGAAGCTGACGGGAAAAGGGGCGAAGAGACGCATCTAGGGAAACAAAGCGAGCAAGGTGGTAGCCTTAGAAGGCCTCTTCGGGCCATCCCTGGGTGCCGCGTGGGGGCGGACGAGGACTCATGGACGCATCTAGAGGTATTCTTGCAGCTGCTGCTGCTGCGGGCTCTCTTGGAGCGCTCTTGGGCGCTCTTGGAGCGGTCTTGGGGCCGCTTGGAGCATCTAGGGAACCATCCAGCTTTGGCAATCTGAGCCATCTTCGAGGTCATCCTGGGCTCTCGGAGGCCGCTCGGGGGCCTCTTGGGGGGCTCTCGGGCGCCTCTTGGGGCCCTCTTGGGACCCTCTTGGAGCCCTCTTGGGGCTCTCTTGGGGCTCTCTTGGGAGCCCTGGAGCGCCTCTTGGGGCCATCTTCGAGGCTATTAATCAAAGGAGGGCGAGGGCGAGCCCCGATCGAGGCCCCCCCTTCGGGGGCCACGATCCTCGTGAGGGGTGTCAAAAGATGGCCCTCCCAAGGCCGATTTTGGACGCTCTAACCCCTCGCGGCTCCTCCCGTCCAGGTCCAGGGGAGGGGGTCGGGGGAGGGGTCAAAACGCCCTCCCCGCCCGCAAGCCGTCTCGCTCACTCCCACCCGCCCTCCCAACACATACGTAGCACCCGAGCCTGACCCGAGCCGCAGCATATGCAGCAGTCGTCTTTGGATGGGCAGCTACTGGGGGCGAATCCGCCTCCGCCGCCGCCGCCGCCGCCGCCCGCCGCCGCCGCTGCCGCGCCGCCGCCGCCGCCGCCGCCGCCGCTGCCCGCCGCCGCCGCCGCCGCCCCCGCCGCCGCCACCGCCGCAGCCACCGCAGCCGCTGCCCCCGCCGCAGCCGCCGCCGCCGCCGCCAAGTGTACTCTGTATTGTTCCCCATATCCTAAGATGTTTTTTTTTTTTTTTTTTTTTTTTTTTTTTTTTTTTTTTTTTTTTTTTTTTTTTTTTTTTTTTTTTTTTTTTTTTACGCCGCCGAGTCCAGAGAACAAGAACACACCCAGAACACAGAGTTACTCATGCACAGAATTATATTCAGACCTACTCATACCCAGACGTACTCATACACAGACTTACTCATAGCCAGACTTACTCATACACAGACTTGCTCAGACTCATACCTACTCATACTCAGACTTAGTCATACCCAAACGTACACATACACATACTTACTCATACACAGACTTACTCATGCTCAGACTTACTCATACCCAGACGTACTCATACACAGACTAATCATACTCAGACCTACACATACTCAGACCTTCTCATAGTCTGCGTTTCTCAACACACGGCAGATTTTGAGGATGTCACAGGCGAGGCGCTGGTTTCAGCACCCCTAATTACGGGAGCCGCCAGGGGGTATATCACGGGCCCGTTCGCGGCAAGCTTGTGGGGATGTCTCAGGCGGTTTGCTTGTATCGGTGCCCAACATCGTCTGCGATTACAGCAGATTTGGAGGATGTCACAGTCGGGGCGCTGGCTTCAGCACTGTTAGGGGAGCCGCCAGGGGGTACATCACGGGCCCGTTCGCGGCCACTTTGTGGGGATGTCTCAGGCGGTTTGTGTGTTTCGGTGCCCAACATCGCCTGCGATTGCAGCAGATTTGGAGAATGTGTCAGTCGGGGCGCTGGTTTCAGGCTTTCTCATACCCAGACGTATACAGTCACATATTTATTCTCTTGCACAGGGTGTCTAGAGCTCCGACCACTTTATTTCGGCACCGCACCCCCCCCCATCATAATCACCATCATCATCATCACCATCATCATCATCATCATCATCATCATCATCATCATCATCATCCACATCATCATCATCATCATGCGCCCCCTCCGTCTCAGCGCCCTCCCGCGGCTCCAGCGCCCGCCCAGTGCCCCCTCCGCCCCGACCACTTTATTTCGGCACCGCACCCCCCCCCGTTCCGCCCCCTCCCCCGCGCCGTCTCAGCGCCCCCCCGCGGCTCCAGCGCCCGCCCAGTGCCCCCTCCGCCTCGACTACTTCACTTCGGCACCGCACCCCCCCCCGCTCCGCCCCCTCCCCCGCGCCGTCTCAGCGCCCCCCCGCGGCTCCAGCGCCCGCCCAGTGCCCCCTCCGCCTCGACCACTTTATTTCGGCACCGCACCCCCCCCCGCTCCGCCCCCTCCCCCGCGCCGTCTCAGCGCCCCCGCGCGGCTCCAGCGCCCGCCCAGTGCCCCCTCCGCCCCGACCACTTTATTTCTGCACCGCACCCCCCCTCCCCGCTCCC